CTGATCTGCTCGACCTCGATGATCATAACGGTTATAAGTGGATTTCGCCAAATATAAGTAGTTTTATTTAAATTTCAAGCATGTCCGAGTCCAATGTAATATCCAAAGTTCATTAAAAACTAAGTCATTTGGGTAATTCCAAACAATCACAAAGCATTGATTTCCAATTAAAATGGTGATTATGTTGGAAGCAGTGTTTCATTGTCTAGCTCTTTTGACTCATCTGTCGACTCATCCTGAGTGCAAACCACGGTAAATTTGCTACACTTTGTGATAACTTCCATTTCGTTTACCTAGGCTATGGCGGGACTAACAGGAAATACGGGTTAGAAATAATGTAGATACGAGTGTAGATATGATTCATATCAAATGAACAGGCGTCACATACAGACCGTTTCGAAATTATTTGCATACGAATTCAGAACCGGACTAAGGGCCGGTAGAATGAAACTTTTTGCTGAATGAGGAACCAACCGGAATAAACTCACCTAACACAGATAAGGCATGGGGTAATTTTTGTTCGAGTTTTCGGTAGTAAGTAAAATGATGATATCTTGAAGCAAACCTCGATGTTATTGAATTCATGAATAATTCGATGATCTGTAACCCATATTATGCAAACTCAGTTGTATGAAACTCGTAAGCAAATGACTCAGCAGATGAGTAATTTGGAATATGATTGTACGATAAATAGCGAGGTAAATAGTACGAAGGCCTGGAAGGGACACATAAAATAAAAAGAATAAAAACTCTTCTAAATTCTGAGTTATAACTCGGAATTTTGAAGAGTTTTTATTTTTTTTATTGTATGTATCCCTTCCAGGGATTTGTAATATAGTCATGCAATGAAGAAGTAATGTATTATTTTGACAATGTTTATTCGTTATCTAGTTTCGTTTCTACATGTTTTCAGGTCAGGATGAGGATTAACCAGTTAACCATTGAATTCATTGACACACAACAACCAACAGCGTCTTTGCTCGTCAACGCCAAAATTGAATATAGGTATTCCCTCGAATATATGTATAGGATTACTTGGCATCTATATTGATATTTGTGTAACCATGTTTGAATTATTGATCTTCGAAGATTATAGGCTGACTATTTCAATCAAAACACGTTTTTATTTGTTATTATAACATCCAGAGTTCATTTAGTAAATCAATTAACTCAGAATTTTCATTGAATCAGTTTATCAATTTATACCAAAATCAAGAACAAAATGCTCAAAATGCCAATTCCATAAATATCCAATAATTCGAAAGCACATTGAAACCAAATCAGGATAATATCTCGGATAATATCTATACATGCGGATAATATTGAGATGAAATAATGTAATTTCCTCCGTAATTTATAATCGCGAACTAAACTTCTTATGATAGGTGCTCCACATGTTGCCCATTGAAATTGTCACACATCTTGATGCACCGTTGAGAAGAGTCACATATTGCTCTTAGAACTGCTGGTGGTATACTCCTGATCCTTCAATTGTTCTTGATGTTTCTCCATACACAAATTCCTCATGTATTCCCTCAAGTATCCCCTCGTGTATCTCCATGAAGAAATGCCATGCTTGTAAAATCAGAGGATCAAGCAGATTTTTTTCAGTGAGCTCGGAATATGTGACAATAACTTCAATGTCTCTAGATATGGACCTCATGTATCATTGAAATTCGTTTCCGAATCATGTTTCTAGCTATCATAGAAGTCGAACAATCGAGCTCCGATGAAATACTGCCCACCCTGTATAATGAAGCTAATTCCGAGCTATTTCAAGTCAACCTAACCATTAACGAGACCGTGAATGTAGCAGAACCAGAACTCAAATTGAATCGGTCATTTCGAATACGAAATGGGTCCATATCTGGGATGAACCAAGATTGCGGCGCCATATTTTATATCTCAAAACGCATCAGTCTGAGGAAAACAACACAAGTTACTGTTTCATAGGTAGCGTAGGTGCAACGCCGATTCATTCTTCAGTAATTTCCAATGCTAAGTCCTTTATTACTTGTGTAACTACTACCTTCGCTCCAAAATCCTGCGAACACATCAGATAGAATACCAATGAATATAAATGCAACTGGCCCATGATAACGTTTGATGCTGTTGGATAACCTGACATTTCAAATAATATTAAGTATTGAGCTTTTTTCAAATTTATATCAAATATCATTATGATATCCAAGTTTGATGTATTTTCCCGGTATTATTGATATGTTATTGTACTTTGCGAATGTTTGATATAAAAAGGTTTATAAGAACCCGAGATTGAAAATAATTGAATTGAAAATGAAATATTAACAACAAATTGAGTAAATGATTTATTTCCGCCTCCCATCTTTCAAAATGATGTATTTATAACCTCGTTTATAACCTACAATACGTATATACAAACGAGGGAATGAACTAGCATTGCCTCAAAATACCTATCTATTCGATGAAAAAGTTTGTTTTCGAAATAATCGATTCAATTGAGCGAGTTGACGGATAGCCAAAGAAGTACATTTATTTTCTAGGCTTTCTTCTCGGCTAATTTGAAACTCTTGGTTGAGCCTCAATTTTCAAAAATCTACCATGAATATGACAAACCAAAAAGCATCATTGTCGATATCATACACCAATTCTCATCAATATCCAGATTCAATTTCCATAATCCTCTTGAAGTTCCACAATTTATCTTGAATTTCCACAGATCCTCTTGAATTTCCACAGTTCCCCTCGGATTACCTTCTGCATCCCAATAGATACCAAAGACAAAGGTTTCAAAACTCCTTTCGAATTCTCATCACTATAGCACAACAAGAAGAGACCAAGATTCTACATCTGAAAATACCGAAAATTCTCCTGGTGACCAACCAATAGCAGATCAAAGAACTGGTTTTACCATAATTTAGGGCTGATTACAGATTTTAATCCGAGCTTTTATCCTAGCCCGTCCTAGCCTATCGCCAGTTTTCACCACATCGTTTTCGCCTTCATTTAATCAGTAACCGAGTAAGTAACCATTTTAATCAGTCGAGTATAAGAGTGATACCTTCCAGAGGTAATACACCCTCGATTTCAGTAAATAGGAATTTGGCACACCAATACCCAATAATTTCCGAAAAATTTCCTCGTTATTTCCAGATTAAATTCTCACACTTCCTATTCAAGTTTCACAATTCCACTCGAATTCCTATAATTTCCATAGAATCCTCATAACCCTCCTCTAATTTTCATTAAATAGGTACTGACTTGGGTACTGAAGATTGAAGTCCGGGGATTCTCGATTAGGTACCTAATAATTCCCATCCTTGAACAATGATCGAATTATCTGCAATTTTCCTAAAATATTCTTGACTCAGCCAGACGTGGACCGGAATTGACTCGGGAATCGAGGCATTATTTAGTGGAATTCGATTGAACTTTGACTCATCGGGGTGTACACCAAAACCCCAGAACTTCGATTTTTTCTTTCTCTAAGTTTTACGAGAGATTCCCGGAGATATTATTCGGATTATAGCGAGGATTATAGGTTCAATTCGGGGTTGAAATTCAGCAATTCATTTTGCGAACATCAGAGGGAAATTGAATAACCGCAGACGAGAATGCTGATGAGCTGTCTTGGTTTTCTTCACAGATATATCTGGATATATCTCAGGATATATTCTCTCGATCATTCACAGGTGTACTGGTATTATCCCCAAGTATTCTCCCGTGTATACAGTTGCATGTTCCGATATCTTCGAAGTGCATAAAAATCATCAAAAAAAAAACCTTCACACTTCAGTAGTCCTAACTTATTGAATTATTCATGATTTCACCAGTAATTTCCGATCGTAAAGTAGGTACAAGGTCTGATATTACCGAGGATATTACCTACTTCAGGTGTAGACCATACATGAATACACGCCTAGACCTTTGAAATGGCTTCATGATATGATATCTACTCATGATGAATATAAAGTGATACAGGTGACCTTCGTTGACTCATCGATTTAATTGACCTCAGAGGATATGATAAAATGTAAGCGTTTTTTATGGATCTCCTGTGGAATACGAATGAAACATGAAGAGGAGTTTCGCGTCAGGTTCAGCTCATTGTATTGGAAAATCCAAGAGAAATTCGGGATAATATATGCAAATTGTATCATGAGTTGAAATGATGAAATATAAAAAACCTCGAGAAAAATCAACTAGATTACCTATATCACGCGAGTTTGAAGAATGGAGATACTGTTCAATAGAAAGTGGTAGTGTGACACTTAACATTATTTTTCTCAAACATATTCATGGCTATAAGATAAAATTTAAGAGCAAAGAAATTATAGTTATAGGTACCTATCCTCATGCATTAAGGCGTGAAGGCGAAGACAAGGGCGCAGGTAAAGATAAAAGTATATTATTTATGCCCTTGTCTTCCACCCACCTATCAGGAACCCATCAGAAAATCTTGTTGTCGGTGTGCTCAATTAGAACCTCGGAACCGTAACAATATTTTGCGTTTTTTGCTTTCCAAGAAATCCTCGTGCCGCCAACAGCGAGGCCAACAACAGTAGCTGTCATATTTTACAGGCGGTAAAAAATCAATTCGAAATTCGCCTGAAACATGCCTACAGCCTACATAGGCGGTCACCAGCAGAACTCAGCAGGCAGAGTGACTACGATATAATAAAGACTTCTCAGAAGTCGAAAAAGTAATGAGTGACTCTTCTGTAGTCTTCGACGAAACCGAGGACGAAACCCAATCAACATATATGACTAAAAGAAACCAGGAAATCCGGTTTTATGATAATTATGATGATGTCTAGTGCTATAAAAGTTCCCAGATAGATAGGTAGGTAGATCGGTAGGTAGGTCTTATGATACATTCAATAGCATCCTACATCCGAGCCTCTTTTTATCACGAGCTCGACCATATTGAATACGTTAGTGCAATTATATCCACCTGTTGCACAATACTTGTGGATATACCTAAACGATTCGGAAGCATTAAAACTTATGCAGAAACTCACCGCAAAGACCAGATTTGCTAAAAACACTAAATATTTCACTATCCCTGTGGCACATCCCATTTTGACACTGTAATTTGGCACTGTCACTCACAAAACAGACACAGAACTTCTCGTTTGTGAACGCCCAGTTCAGTTTCAATGAAACACAGAAACTGTGAGAGTGGAAGCGTATAGAATGAAAGCAAGAACCTGACCGCGTATTGTTTGTGTTAAATATTTTATTTTCGTTCACACACTGTACGCGTAACAGGCGGTAACCTAATTCTTCTATTCACTTCACTTCTCACTCGTTTTACTTGGACTGAACTGACTGAACTCTGAAATGAACACAGTTTGTTGTTGGCGACTAACGATGAGGCTGTTGACGATTCTGTGGTTCGTAATGAAGGTTGAAAAACAGGTTTTGATTGGTGATTATTTGCCTCTCCCCTGTATTACATTGCAATTTGACGTCACTGATGTGTAATCGTTTCCGTCTTCAGAATAATATTTTTTTTTTTATTTTAGAAAAACCTCACCTGGAACCTTGCGGTACCCTGTGGATAATTAAATATTTCCCAATCCTGTAACTACATAGGCGATCGCAAAATAGTTATATTTATACACCAAGAGGTAGTGAAGAATATCATTATATTACCCAGGGACCAAGATTATATCCCGAGGCTTCAGCCGAGTGGTATCTATAAGGTCCCGTGGTGATTTTTTTTATCGCTTGGAGCGCACGAAAGGAAATCCCTATATTCTTGACTACCATGGGGTATATTAAATTTTGTTCACCACATGCATTACATTTCAATCATTACCTATCGTTCTGTGAAACTGAAATATGGACCTATTGTCACTATGAATGCACTTTCCTTCAATTCTAATCAAAATAATAGTCATGAATATGACAGCATTATGGCAAAAGTCGTAATTGATAAATAGGTACTAGATCCGAGTCCTATCTCTGCGGATATCGCATAAGAACAGTGAAGTTAAGTGGTTCAAAAAATGACGTAAACTACCTTGGTAGTGAAAACACAAATCACGCCTCGAGTGAATAATGGTAGGTTCTAAAGCTAGTCGTGGAAAAACATTTTTTCCACGGCAATAACACAAAATTCCTCCTGTTTTACTGTGTTCGATACATTAATGAGGTACTTTGAATATCATCAATTTTATTGAGTTCATTGTGTCATTATTTCAAAAAAATCCCATCGCTCATGGAATATCAAATTTCAAGCAATGACAGCTCTGTCTAATAGATGAGCATCACTTGAGAGGAAATCAGATGGCTACAAAACGCCGCTATTATCTGTTACAGCCGTAAAAGAATTATATAGCACGGAATGCTAATTTCCCAGTCGAATGATTGCAGGAATTCCCTACGGCATATACTATTTCCGATGGGGTCAAGCATATATTGTAATCCCAATAAATAGTGAAATCATATTATATGATTTCAACCTGGAGAAAAATCTCCTACTCCAAGTCATCGAAAAACAACATTCGTAAATTATTTATTCCTTGATTTCTATCTTGTAAAATGAGAGTTTCTGTTCTTTTGCAATAAATCTCATTAACACGAGAAATGTCACGATGGGTCTGAGCGACCCACCAAAACCCTAACAGACAAATTTTCCTAAAGTCTGTGGTGGGCAGACCTGAATAACCACCGGACCAGTGTTGTCAACAGCATATTTGAAAAACGGCTAAATGAATAGCTATTTTTTGCCATTTTTTTCAGCAGGAACTGATCATGGACTACTAATCTGACATTAACAATTTGAGTCTAGAGCACATCTAGAGCTCAGATCTAGAGCTATACCCTACATTGGCGTATGACGTGATGTCTTGACGTCATCGACGTCAAAGTCAATTTGTCGAAATGGCACAAAGCATGGAGGTCTGAATTTGAAAAAGATCAGATTGTGTAAATAACGAATCATCTATGGAAATATTATGAATATGAGAATATTTTTGTAGAATGTAAAAATGAAAAAAAACTCACAAAAATGTCTTAATGGCTAGATGCATTTTCAAATAGCTAGATGAGCTCAAAAATGGCTAGAACTAACCATAAAATGCCTGAGTTTGCAGCACTGCACCAAACGGCATTTTACTTGAGGTCACGGCGTTCCTTGTAGACCCACCAAAGTCATATAAAATGCATGGCAATGTTCTCGACTACACCGAAAGAAAAACTTCATTATCTCCAAAAATTGGTATTTATTGTATGAGGCAAATAAGTTGTGGATTTTAGCTCGAGGTTGTGTTGTCTACCGACGCGTCCGGTTTATATGGCAGACACTCTTGCAGAACAGTATGCTCATCAGGTACTGAGACTTCCACCATACCACTGTATTCTCGACCCAATGTTGAAATGATATAGGGGATCACTTGAACTTATTATAGAGATCATGTTGGCCAGCATGGGAGTCCTATGATAAAATCTCTGGATATGTGGAAAGATTAAATGATATTCGAAATTTTTCAGAGTGCCATATATTGGGGTTAGAAAATAGTATCATTTAGTGTGAGATTATTACTGTAGATTAGGGTTAGAAAATTGTATCATGTAGTTAGTTCATTGTGATGACATATAGTGGTTTCATGAGTTTCTCTGGGTTTTTCTCATGAATTATATTGAGAATATTGAAGTAAAAGAACAATTCTTGTTGTCTATTTCATAATTTCCAATATGAGTAGATGCACCACTATTTATTTTTCCACGAAATGAGATCAATTGATCGGATTTTTAATCCATTTCAACAATTTATTATAGTAATTGAAAAACATTCAAAACGATTAGATAACCTCAAAATTGAATTCGAAGTTTTCATTATTTTCACTCAGTGAATGTGAATACCTACTGATCACTTTCATTCAGAAAAATGAATTCAAGACATTATTATGTATTGGTAGAAAAATAAGTTATTTTTAATGTTAATATATGTGATTGTTCGTTGATGTTGTTATATGATGAATCATTCTTCAAGTTCAACGTCAAGTGCTGATTTTGAAATATAAATTGACGGCTTTTGAGTTGATTGAAAAAACATTATAACGTCCGACGATCGTATTAATAGACATATCCATATTCGGGCGGTTGGTCATTCAGTCATTTTTCTTTCAACACTGTATGTGTTATTGACATATTGACGTCACTATCAACTGAGCGTGATAGCCCTTCAGTACATTCATTTTTCGGAGCTCTGTCAGTGAAAACTACATCCATATGAAACATTTTCGAAATACTCTCGGAAACGGAGTACCGAGGATACACTTTTTTTCGCTCATCAAAGCACTTTCCATGTATGGAAAATTTAACTTTCCCATTATATTGATTTCCGTTTTTTCTTTTACCTATTACAATGATTTGAAAGTTTGATTTCCTCATGTTAAACTCACCACTGAATAAAACTTCGAAAAGCAATTGTGCCAAATAGATATTTTCTATTCCTCAACAATACAAGAACATCCTCTGGACTTCCCAGGGACGTCCCTAATTCACTAGGAAGACATCTCTAGGACAGTCTCTGTTAGGACCAGGGACGGCTCACTGACATACGCTGGCCGCCAGAAAAAAGCAACATTAGGGCGTCCCTGCAGTATGTTCTAGGAATGTACCGGGTATTACTAAGTATATCCGAAAGACCTTCCATGAGCATATATCATTTATCACTAGAAGGACATCCCTAGGACAGCTGCTGTCGGGACACAGGCAAACTAGGGACGACCCACTGACATCCGCTGGCCGCAAGAAAGGCTGTACGTTCTAGGAATGTACCAAGGAACAACAACGTAGTAACATGACCATATTATCGAATATGCCACTATCGAACAACGAATCGCCCCGACGATCCAAAAATCATATGTGACTTCGCGATCCAGTCCCCTTGAGGTTCCAACTGCGAATGAATAAGAATGCGAAATATTGCAAATACACCCTAACAACACAGGGATGTCCTAGGTACGTCCCTTTTTTGTCCTGCGGTACAAGGACATGATTGGGACATCCAGGGGATGTCCTGCAGTGGTTGATGTCCAGTGGACATCCCGCCCGGTACATCCCTAGGTTATCCTATTCGTGTCCCTGGAGTATCTGATATCCATTCACATGAGAGTCATTGAATTTCACCAAACTATTGAGTTGAATTTTTTTGAAAATGTTTGTTTCTCTTCCGGAAAATGATTGTGATGAAAATAAAGAATAAAGTCTCAGAACTTCTTAAGAAATTACCATTTTTCGCAGACAGAAATTGTACATGCATAATGCCCCTCATTTTTAAACACCCAAGAATGATAATCATTATACCCAATTCCTAATAAAGTTGTATTTATTCAGGTTTCTGTAGTTAAGTCCTGTTTATAAATCTGTTCAGTACATAAATCTTCAGGAGGCATGATAGCCAATGGAGCAAGGTGCGTGCATGATAAGCCAAAGGTCCCGGGTTCAATCCCTACTCGACCTGCAACTTTCTTTCTTTTGTCGAAAGGATGTCCCTGGGATATCCTTGGGACGTCCTAGGGATATCCTTTCATCGTACTTGGTACATCCCAGGGACGTACCAGAAGGACATCCCTTGGATGCCTTTTTTAGCGGCCAGCGGATGTCCCTGGGACATCCCTAGTATGTACGTTGTCCCGACAAAGGACATCCCTGGGATGTCCTAGTATAAAATTAGGGACGTCCATGGGAAGTCCCTAGGATGTACTGGTGTTATTGTTAGGGCAATGACCACGAACTACGAAGGCTTCGGCCCGTGTGTCATCGTAAGGGTTCGTTCCAAAACGTTCAGCAAGTTTTCTGAAATAAAAAAACCAGAGTGCTCTTACAATTCACCAAGAAGATTCAGTTCATACGACAAGAATATTGCCCCCACGGGCATTTTGGAGTCTATAAGACCTATTCAGCTTCGAGGGATGGAATATATTCCTTCAACATGCAAAGAACCGTGAAAATAAATACGTCAAGTGCTATTTTCCAAAGGGCGAGAATGTCCACATTGCCTTACCCTCCCCCCCTAATACCAAATAATACCAAGGTCTGAAAATGATTCCATTGCGATAGACAC